AATCTATTTATTCATAAGAAAAAATATCTATTTATATACAACACTAACTTGTACTTCAATAACAAACAATTGAGCAAACAAATTTAATGGGAGCCATGGCTTTGCATGGTTATTCAAGTAGAAAATTTAAACTTTACTAAACAATGTAACTTGTAGTTAGAATAAAAAAAAGAATAATAACATACATTTGAGCAAACAAATTCAATGGGAGTGTTGGCTTTGCATGGTTTTAGAAAGTTTGGATAAATTTGGCTCATAACTTGTTGTTTTAAGTATCAAAGACGACTCTAAATTTTCATTTATCAGTTAGCTTCTTACTTTACTTTTAATTATATTCATGCAAGGGCTTGCCCGCACGAATATGTCGATCCGAAGATAGTCAGCGCTCCACATGCCAACTTCTTCACGTCATTGTAACAATCTGGAAGATTATTGGGAAGCGGTGAAAAGCGAGTACAACTGGCTAAGAGATAGAATCAGTGCCTAATCCTCGTTAATCAATTCAGATCGATTTTTAAATGGTTTTGTTTTTGATAAAATAAATAATATTTTCGTATGGAACTAAAGAGCCGCAGCTTCACATCCAAAGAGCCGCATGTGACCCTGCCGACCTCTGTGCTAGAACTAGAAAATTTTTACACTAAAATCAACTTTTGTAAAAAATTTAGTAAATAGATAGATGGATAATAGCCTGAGGATCCATTTTATGTATTTCTTTTGTATTGCTTCGATTAAATACCCCGTATTTCCGTTTCATACTTCAGTAGGTATACTTTCTACGAATACTTCTAAAAATAAATACGTTTTCTTTTCCCAGTTTTCCTTGAAATTCTTTTCAGACATGCTCCATACTTTCCTTAAGACTGCAGCTGCCTTTTTTTAAGTTTCTTATTTGTTCTTCTGTACGAAGTAGCCCAGACTTATTAATTGTCTTTTAAATTTGAGTTACCTGTTAATTGTTCCAAAGCGAATTCATGCAGCTATTGTTTTCGTCCACCAAGAGATTTTTTTTTTTGCGTTGAATTAGAGAATAGACTGCAGGCACGCAAGCATTCTAATACAAAGGTTTCGAGGAGCAGGCTGATAATATCAAAGGGAGAAACTCCGATACTCCCCGAATTCTCATTGTGTAAACGCCCGTTCGTCATCCGTCTGATGAAGTCGAATGGGTTTTTTGTATGGATTTTATGACCATTACATAGGAGGGTTTACAAAGCCCTATTCCTTCAGTCGGTCAACACATTTGTATTTCTCGACGAATGGATTGAATTGTTCTACCGTTTTTTTTTTACGTAAATTGCAATGAAAAGGGTCGTTAGTAACTATTGTTCTATTAAATAATTGCGGAAATGTAGAATATTACTAGGATTATTGAAATGTTGCGTTTAAATCATTGACAAGGTTTGTAATTAATTAACACGATACGAGAATTGTACGTTAGGTACATTCTTTTAATGGTGGTAAGTTGTAAACAACTTTGTGAGCTGCAGGACATGCTGTTCCAAATCCGTAACTATTTTCAAATATTTGGTAATCTAATCTAGATCTTCTTCTGCTTCTTTTCACTTTTGTTTTTGCTTCTAAGATGCCTCTAAATAATAACCCTTCGTATCGTAGGAGATAGTCTACCTATTTACCCACTTACCTCTTTGTTTTCCCTATTGTTCTACTTCTTCAGTGAACTTTCCTGGTTTGAATCTTGATTTGTAAAAGCTGCATGACATTTCCATCATCTTTAACTATATATTTTCGAAAAGTCGGCGATCTAATCTGAATCTTCCACTACCTCTCTTCACTCCTGTTTTTGCTTCTAATATGCCTCTAAATAGTAGCCCTTCGTGTTTTAGAAGATAGTCTACCTATTTACCTAACGACCTCTTTGTTTTCCCTATTGTTCTGCATCTTCAGTGAACTTTCCCGTTTTGAATCTTGAGTTGTGAAGGCTTCATGAAACATTCCATCATCTTTAACTATTTTCGAAAAGTAGGCGATCTAATCTAGGTCTTCTACTGCCTCTCTTCAGTCCTGTTTTTACTTCTAATATGGTCCTAAATAATAGCCCTTCGTGTCTTAAAACATAGTCTATCTATCTACCCATCTACCTCTTTGTTTTCCGTATTGTTTTACTTATTCAGTCAACTTTTCTGTTTTGAATCTTGATATCTGAAAGCTGCATGATACATTCCATCATCCTTAACTATTTTCGAAAAGTAGGCGATCTAATCTAGGTGTTCTACTGCCTCTCTTCATTCCTATTTTAGCTTNGCTGTTCTAGTTTTAAGGAAATGCGAAGTTTAGCTCAGGATAGGAAAGAGTGGAGGTACGTGTCCAACCAGTCTTAGGACTGATGACCTTATGACGATGATGAGGCGATCTAATCTGGATCTTCTACTACCTCTCTTTAATCCTGTTTCTACTTCTAATATGGTCCTAAATAATAGCCCTTCGTGTCTTAGAAGATAGTTTATCTATCTACCTATCCACCTCTTTGATTTTCCCTATTGTTCTACTTTTTCAGTCAACTTTCCTGTTTTGAATCTTGATTTCTGAAAGCTGCATGAAACATTCCATCATCCTTAACTATTTTCGAAAAGTAGGCGATCTAATCTATGTGCTCTACTGCCTCTCTTCATTCCTATTTTTGCTTCTCATCTGCCTCTGAATAATAGCCCTTCGTGTCTTAGAAGATAGTTTAGTTAAGTTTTCGTTTTGAATTTATCTTGATTTTTATATCTACGAAAATAAGAATCTTAACGTAATTATATTATGAAATTAGTATAAAATACGAGTTGTGTTGATTGGTTTGTTTCATGTTGTACTTATAAAGTTCAATAAGAAATGAGTAATGGTGGGATTGCTATAAAATTTTCGATGTGTATAATGCAGAAAAGGGACGAAAATATTGTGTTGATATATTATACACGAGGGTCAGACCGTAGTATTTTCAGTGACATTTTCAATTCGGACGTTTCTTCTTTTGTATGAAATGGGAACATAACTGTGGTTGATTTATTATACTGTTTGAACACAGGATGGAAACGTACGCATTAATATTTATTGACTGGAGATTGGAACGTTGATTTACGACATGTCGACATTTTTTTAACCGATTTATTAACCCTAAAAATGGCGTTTCTGTGTTGCCAGATAGAGCAACTAGAACAAAACCAGTATCACTCTTTTTACTCTCATCAATTATGTATTTATTATCATATGATTCGACTATCCCAACGTGATGGTGGTTTTCTCAAACAAGATAGGTACTTTTAGCAGTTGCAAAGATAGACTTAATAAGGATAATTATCCCTTTAGCATTGTCAAAATTCAAATTTGATGTTTCCAATACAAGTACAGAAGTAAAAGCCTGAATACATTAACTTACGTATTTTCAAAAATATTTCATCAAATTTTGAATTTCTTTCGAGTTTTCAGCAATACACTTGGGCTTATAGTGTCTTAACATTGTCATTTTCTGCTAATAAATACCAATAACATAACGATTTTATAGTTACAATATTTGCTGTATGTTGGGTTGCCTATGAATTACAGTACAAATTGTACTTATATTTATTCTGAAAAAATAACATCCCTTACTACATGTAGGTGCAAAAAATGCAATTTAAAGATTGTAATTCATCAATTTACTTCAATGGAACCGTAATTATAGCTCAATTATAGCTTCTATTTTAAATTGACCTGGCGCCTCCACCAAAATTTTCAAAAATTTTTTAATAATAGTTGATAACATTTAGCTATTTTCATGACTGTCTTATTTTCGATATCAATATGATTGTTTACTAGGTTAATCCTTCACAACAACCATCAATAAAGGTCAAACTAGATCTCTCTTATTAACGAGAGTAAACGCTCAATACATTAATTTGCATACTTTCAAAATAATTGAATCAACAAATTTTTATTCTTTATTGTATGTACAATTAAATTCCACGCTAATTAATAAAAGGACTGAAGGGTTTCTTCGTGCAAAAAGGATCATATTATTGTCTTTCGTCTTTCAATATATTTGTAATTGTTGTTAGAAACCAATTCTCGTGTTAGGGATGGTGAATACTTATAATTAGGGTAATATTAATCGAGTTTTCAGCAATACACCACAAGTTATGGGCTTATAGTGTCATTTTGTGCTAATAAATAGTAATAACATAACGATTTTATAGTTACAAAATTTGCTGTATGTTGGGTTGCCTATAAACTGTATTATAAACTGCAGTTTTATATATTCTAAAAAAAGAACATCTCTTACTGCATCTACGTGCAATTAATACAATTGTAAGATGATAATTCATCAATGTACTTCAACGAAACCAGAATTGTAGCTCAATTATAGCCATTTTTTTAACTGTCCCGGCGCCTCCACCAAAATTTTCAATAAATTTTTGATAATTGTAGATAACGTTTACATATTTCCGTGAATGTCTTATTTTTGATATTAAAATGATGGTTTATAAAGTTAACTCTTCAGCAAAATTCAAAGTAGAAAGGGGAGACTGTGGTAAATATTAATTAAAAATTAAAAGGAATACTCACCCCTAATTACCACAAAAAAAAACTTTGTTTGAGCGGGCACGTGTTTCGTGGGCATTGTCTCGCGTTGATAAAGGTTTTTTCGTGCAAGGAGGATCATATTATTGTCCTTTTTTAACATATATGTAATTTATGTTCTTTACCAGCACTACCAAAATTGTATTACATCAGCACTCCATTCCTCAATGTCTAAGCGAAATATTAAAAATTGAATTCCAATTAATCGAAAACTAAATTCCATTACAGAGTTAAAAGAAATTGAAAATCGTTTAATTAATGTAGAAGCTGCTACGCCGGTGATTTCAATCCAATTTACGTTATTTTTTTTTTTCAGTTGTCTAATGTATATCGCGATTTCAACTAAATTGATTTCCGAACACTAATTCCGTTTTATATTCTCCTTTCTTTCCGGCTCATTTTTTAGAAGATCTTATCCAAGGTTTTACTTCTTTCGCTTTTTTTTTTATATCGGCTACCATTACAGGTAACCCAAATTATTATTAGAATCCGTTTTATTCAAAATTTCATGTGTTTTAACGACAGCTTCCCCCTTTCTCCACAAATCCATTTCTCCATAGGCATACAAGGAAAAGCTTTCAGAATAATTTATTTACGTTTTTTGTTAAAAGCGTTTTAAAGGCTTTATACGGGGTGCCTGTTGTTATATATAATATTTATAGGGTGTATTAATAAAGTTTTAGTAGATGGCATAAGTATTAGTAACAGCATTCTTTGCTATACAACAATTATATATTGATTTCGGTTTATTGTAAAAGTGGAAGAAAGAATTAAATAACCCAATGTACGTCAACTAAAAACTTTTACCGTTGATTTCGAAAACAATTTACAACTTGTAAATGGTTAAGGATGTTTGGGAGGTACAATCGGAGACAAGAGTACATAAAATTAGAAAAAAAAAAGTATACGGTTTGAGAGAAAATTTGGAATTTGACCAAAAAAACATTAAATAAAATAAGAACTAACGAATAATATAGAAAATTTTTAACTGAATTTTGGCAGTGAATATGCCTTGATTTCGACTTCGAAACAAAAAAATATTTAGTTTCAATCTCTATTAATAATGAGCGTAAAACTTTTTAATATGTTTAAATAATAATTAAAACTTTAAAATTGCATTTATTTCAGACAATTATAAATATTATCATTATATTATCAAGTAAAAACGAGATTTTCAGCTAATTTTTCATTTTTTCCTCGATAACCATTTAGTGAATTTGAATAACCTTACGCTAAAGTGATTCTCCAGAGTTCAAGTTACTTATTATAAAAGTTTGAAATTTCTGGTAGCTTTTTTTCTGTTAATAAAAATAAATTTAATCTGTTCGGTTAACGAATCTCCATAAAATGACGTGTAAAATTACAATTTTTTAAAATTTCAATAACTTTTTAACGGTTTAGTGAATCGATTTGTAATTTTTACAGGAGTTTTAGAATTGAATGAGGAACGTTCTTCCAAATTTTTATTTGTCTCGTAGCATTTTGACATACCGCCCAAACATCCTTAAGGAGAAGTTGAAAGATTCGGAAAAGTAATTAATGAAATATAAAACTAGTGAAGATTTTTTTTTCACTAGTATATACCTAGAACTTGACAATTACTGATTCTTCAAAGTTAATTATTAATGTACAGAAGTTTTATCTACTAAACTTATACCGATTGGTTTTATTCTTTAATTCAATTCTTACTTCTAATTAGTTATCTTTTGTTGAAACATGTAATAAAACTTGAAATAGCTTGGAATTGCTTTTCCTAAAATTTCCGATTTCTATAGACGAAATGTGGGGTAGGTACCATCACAAGGTCATCAGTCTGAAGAATGGTTTAGGAAAAAGTTCTTTTGAAAACAAATCACGGAAAAATCCTCCTCAGAGAAAAGCCTCAATCAGTGTTTGCGTTTCCAATAGATTTTACAATATCTCGCTTCCATATTTGCGGTAAGACCAGTAATTTAGTCACAATCTTCTATCGCCCCTTTATACTCCTGTTTCTTCTTCTGATACGCCTCTAACCACTTCTTCATGTCTGACACCCTACATATCGAAAACCGATGTATTCAATATTCATATTAGCGCAACTTTATAAATTTTAACTTCTATTCAATTAAGATATTAAAAAAGTATATCAGTTTGTTCGTATATCAAACCATTCATTGTGGAATAATTAAAGCATCTATGTTATTATTAAGTTCTTTGAAAAATCATCCCATTTGAGCCAAAACCTTTTACAAATCCATATACAATGCTCCTGTTTGTTTTGTTTGTGACAGATCTAGATCAAAGCTTCGCTATTCTATCGCTTTTATCGATAAGCCCCAATTTTGTTTTCATCAAGGTATACGTTTAGAAATTTAAAGGTCTAAAGGATTAATTTATAAAAAGAATTCAATCTTTGGCACGCATGTAGAAAATCAAAGCGAGCGAAGCTGCTGGTAAAACCTATCATGACATTTTGTACACACATTAACAATGGTACCGAAAGGGACAAAGGGTACCTTTTATTCAGAAAAAAATTCTGCACCCGAGGGATAAAAAAATTAGTTTTATGTGGTCGTCGATGAGCTGTGACATGTATTTAGATTCTAATGGTTTATAATTTTAAATCAACGAGCACTTTTACAAAACAATTAAAAGACTATTATTGGAAATAGAATAAACATTGAATACGAAAGGGCTGTTTAAGTCTTTGACTAAATTTTAGGTATATGTAAGCTTACATATGACATCACAGGTTTTTAAACATTTTGTCTCGAATTTGTCTAGAGCTTTTTGTTTAAAAGTTTCGATGATATTTACCATAGATAGTTAGCAGTCCAGATAGTTTAAATTTCAATTAAAGTTTTACTCTATTTCTCTTACAGAATGAATGCAAATTTTCGTGTTCCTCTTCGTGTAATGGAACCTCCTGTAATAACTTCTGCAAGGACTGTTTGAGGCAACTGGGAGAACCGTGCAGCGATGATATAAAATGCGATGATACCAAACACCTCATATGCAAATTTTCACACGGAGATACGGAAGGCACTTGTGTAGGTAAGTTTAAAAAAAAATACAGTAAATTATTTATTTATTAAGTTGAAAACAACAGTTGTCAGGTTAGACCTTTATAATTGTTACTGTGTGTTTTCGATTATTATTAATTTTTATTAAACGACAACATCTCGGACATCGACATCTACAGTAAGCCATTTAGTTGGGAATATCCTATCATCGGCTGTTTCAGCTGCACTAATTTCCCTAAATATATTATATTTTAACAATTTTTCGTTGTTGCGTTATGATAAATGCATGTGTTAATTATTTTAATACATATGTTGTATGCTAGTCTTCCATAATTTGAACTTTTTCTTCAAAATTTTCAAGTAATCAAATGGCACGCTTGAGCCGTGTGGCCGATCATCCCGCGGTCTTTTTTAAGTATCGTAGAATACCAAGGTATAATATGGTACATGCATTTGAGACCGAATGTAATTATTTGAAGATTTCTATAGGAATGAACGAACCAAACTTTTTAAAAATTACTTTTTATTCATGTCAAATACATTTTCCTTTTAAATGAATTTCTGACAATTTCCGAGGTAACGATGCACCATTAAAATGGTACCAAAGTTTATGAAAAGATTTTTAATCACCCCTGGAGTCTCAAGAGAACCTCCCTGTTTATCACTGAGTGTATATCATCTATATTTGTATCTAAATAATTCAAAATGAATCTAAAAACAGTATTTTTTTGGTTGTTTTTCATTCAATATATTCAGCAAAAGTCTTGAAAATCTTTTTAAGGTATGAAAGAACAAATACCTATCACTTATATTAAGTGCTTAATACATAATCAATAAATCGCGAAAATGATTGAAAACAACCAATGAGTTTTCATATTATGGAAACGAAATCTGATAATATTAGAAAAACAACGTTCATAATAACTTTTTTAACTTCCCATTAGGAAGTTATTGTAATTGGGTCGAAAAGTGAAATCGGAATTTTCATTATATTTCCACGTTTTAACATATTAGTAGCATGCTAGCCAATTTTTTTGATGATGTGTGTATGTACGTACGTACGTACGTACGTACGTACGTACGTACGTTCGTATGTCAGCATTTTTTTCGTTTTCGATATCTCAAGAACGGATTGAGATATCGCCCTCAACCAAAATTTTTTCGAAAGATATTATCATAATGAAGATCTGAAAGAAATTTGAACGAAATCGGTCAAGCCGTTTTTTTTTTATAAAAAAAAAAACGAATTAATTACAAACAATTTAATTAAAATACGTTCTAATCTAATCACAACAATGAAGTTACGGAATCAATAATAACGAAATATCATTATTCAAGACAGGGAATAACATATTATAATAACATATTATAATAAAAATTTGTTTATAACAAAATGAATTGTTATAAACAATCGATAAACAATAAAAAATAGTATTTACCAATTGACTGATGCAAGTACTCTATCAATTCGGTTTTCTCAGACGAAATACTGTTTCTTATGGGTTTATAAAATGACGAACTCTCAAACATTGTTTGTTATTTATTATTGTGCCGCGTTTTTTTCAAACTTTAGAAACGAATGTACTTTACAATAACTGTATTATCTAATGGGAAGTTAGTCGTATTAGCACCGATCAAAGTGTGCTCAGACCAATTTTTTCTGTTTTAAAATTCAACCCCTAATGTTTTTTTAACTTAATGAAAAATCTACTGAAGCAAAAGTATGTAAATTAATACCAACTTTTTTTGAATATATGATTAGAACCAATTTAAATAGAAAACCCTCGCAAAATCGAAGTTCTTTCAGCGAAAAAATTGAAAAATTATATTTTAAGTCTCCTATAACATCAGCAATACGAGGGTAAGGAAATGACAATTTTAAAGTGCCTTAATTAATTTTAGCTAGATCTTTTATTTATTTAGGCATCTCAACAACTTTCTGTGTACATTGGGTTGTCTATCCTGCTACAACAAAAATCGAATTAATTATTATGTTTAATCGGGTTATAAGAAAACTGAGCCACGGTATTGAATAGCAAATTTGATCGAAAAACATTAACAACAATACAAATGTCTGTATTTAACTAACTGATGTTGTTTACATGACGGTATTTATTAGTTTACTTCTATTTGCAAGATCATTTTGAGTATTTAAAATTATTTTTGAAAGCGTTGGACGAATTATATCGTACCTACTGAAGTTCGTTATCATGAGATTCCAATGTTGGCAGGGACGTTCAAATAAGATTTTTAGGTCAAACAAGAGATAAACATATCGTTGTAATACTACTCTTTCGGAGAATTTAAATTGCTATAATGAATATGTATTCCATTCATTGCTAAATGTTGTAACTTTATCTTTTTTGAAACAGTTTCTAACATATTGAAATAACAGTCTACAACTATTTTCATTGACAAGGACTTTAATAAATAATAGTAATTTGAAATTTTTACTATTTATTTTATGGATTTTTTTATTCTACTTTCAATTTTTCTATGGATTTGAATACGGAACAGATGTAAACTAATTCATAAAATTGTAAAAACAGATTTGCATAATTTTCTTTTGTTTTTTAACTATTATTTAATTTGACTGAATTTGCATATGGGTAGGTAAGTCTTCAAACATTCAAGTCGAGAAAGGTCTGGAATTATGTAAATACAGACTCAATTAACATATGCAAATAAACTGGGCTGATAGCAAGCCTGTTAAAAGAGAAAATCTAATAAATTATTGAGTAATTGAGTATTGCTCTGCGATATTCGTTAAATGTGGTTTCTAAACCTCAAGCAATCGAAGTACATCGAATTGGTTTGTTAATGAAATTTGAACAGTTACCGAGTTAATCTCGTTGTCAATTTTCAAATCCAATTAACAATTAAACTATGTTAAGAGCTCCAGAAAACAACAATAAAATTGTTTGCGCGCGATAAGCCTATCCCCTAATTAATATCACAAATGCGAATGTGACTGTTTGTTTGTTGACTTTTCACGCCTTAACTACTCAATCGATCATCATGAAATTTTGTAGACATATTAACAGGGGTACAGGAAAGGACATAGGGTATCTTTTATCCAGAAAAGAAATACTGTTGTCGAAGTATAGAAAATTTAGTTTTATATGGTCGTCGATAATCTAGTAAAATCTAGTAAACTTTAAAATGTATTCCAAACCAATCTTATTGTCAGTAATATTAGCTAAAACACGTAGCCTTTTGGACTGGATTTGTAGATTAAAACAATATTTAAATAAACATGTGCCATCAAAACCAACAACATGCAATTTAAAGAATTCTCTGTGGATTATTCAAATCTGTAAATATGTCAGACATTGTACATTTGGGTCCATAACAACAATGGTTGCGCTCTGGTGTTATAATCTGTTAAATACGATAGAACAATGCGCCATTATCTTGAAACTGCACAAACCTCTGAAGCATGCTATATATGTACGTACAACAATCTCAATCTTCCTGTCTTTCTCATTCGTCCCATCGTATTAATTATGTCCAAACATTGTTCGTATATAAACGAATTTCTAGTCTAGCAAACGGGGATATTTAGATAACCAACCCCCTCACAGTTTTCCTGTAATTTACTGAAATGTAACGATTATATTTTGCAAAAACGTTAGGAAAAAAATCATCGATAAATTCCAAGAAAATTTTGATACGACATGTACTTAAATATTGAGTTGCAGCGACGAATACGAGTTCTGAATGGTGAATTATCTGTTACAAACTTCGGATAACAATTACTTATCGGCAATGAATGCGACCGCAGACGTTCTATGACGTTTGCACTGTGACGAGGCATCCGTCTGGGAAAGAATTTGTCCGATAAGTCCTATCGTTTTCCAGCCACAGGTTACGAAAGTCAAATTTGGGCTCAGGAACATGGCCGCGGTTAAAAATTCATAGCTCCGCTATTCGACATCCGATATGTACGAAACATGGCTCGTTCGAAGCCCAATAAGTTGGGCAAACTTTTGACGGAAACAGTTTTGAACTATGACTTTCCTGGTCTGCGTTAGAGCCGACTCAATTCGCGCAATTTACCGAGTCCAGAAATAGCCCATATTTTCCGATTCTATAGTCCGATATCAACGGGAGTGTTATCAAAATTTTCTAGAGATAAAATAGAAGCACCCCCTACGATATTCCGTTTCAGAGTTATAACTGTTGAAAGTTTTGTTCTAGTATTGTCTTTTCCCTGTTACATTTTTTATAAATCATCTTTGTCTAGAAATAAACTATAAAATAGACTACAGTAATATGACACACACAAACAAATATATACTTGTCCCTTGAGGGGGTGTGTTAGACGTGTCCTTGCTTGCTCTGCTCCGTTTCAAACTTCAATTTTGCCCCGACTATTTTTCTTTTCGAGTTGCATTTCCTCGGGCACTGCCTTTGATCTCTTTCATTACGCTCGAAGAAGAAAATTAAGTTCTCTTTGATAACCTTACTTAACAACGTTCTTGTGACGATAATTTAACAGGGCTACGAGGCGTACAAGTTCTACTATAAAAATAAAAGGGGAAAACACAAAGACAAAATGCAGAAGAAAAAAAGACAACGAGTAGGTGTGCGAAACAATAATAGGGAGAAAAGATTAGACATGTGGGATAATTGAGAACGACAAGGGGATTTGGAATTGGGTCATTGCAAAGCAAAATGTACCACTCAACGAAATTATCACAAAGACGTAAAATTGACAACATTTAACACATTTACAAGTAATTGTATTTTCATCAAAAAGGTCCCATCTTGCCATTGTCATAACATCGTCAATCCGCACCCTTATTTCTTCCTGCGCTGAGTCCAGAAAAGTGTCACATTCGATATCCCTGACTCCCCATTCACAAACAATAATCTTCTTGCTAATATGCCTCTGTCCTCTATGTATCAGAAGGTCAGTGACGGACTAAGGGAGGCTTGCCCCTGCTTTTGGTCTTAGAGGATCTTTCAAATTTCGAAAAGTCTTCTAGTGAATTCCCAAACAAAACCAAATTACGCCCAGTTTGGACTAGGGGCTTGTATACACAGTGGCGGATTATCCATAAGGCAAAGTAGGCATATGCCTAGGGGCGCAAGGTCAAAAAGGGGCTCAAGGTTAAAAAGGGGCGCGCGCGGAAATGTTTAAACCTAAAAAAAAATAAGGAAGTACCTAATAAAAAAAAAGTACTTTGCAAAATATATGACCGCCAGAGGGGCGTCTATGAGGTGCTAGCCTAGAGCGCTCTCGACATTTAATCCGCCTCTGTGTACACAGGTTATAAATAATTGATTTTGTTTGTCACATAGAAGGTTTTACCCGGATAGATAATCTTTCTGGCTCAATTGGATATGTGCAAAGAAAATCGTTTTCCCTTTTCAAACAGTGTCTAAGATCTATTCCATTTTGGGGTGTAAGTTCTTTTCAAAAGAAACATCCTGTGTTTTGTGGGGTCTCCCTATATTTTTGAATGTCTTTATCTCCACTAATTTTTCTCCTTTCATCCATTCATGATGTTTGGATACAGGTTATAGTTTTTCATGAAAATTCTTTGTTCTTGATTTGTATGTATGTCGTATACTTGTCTGTCACTGACTTCCGTTTCTTCTATTTTTATTTCTTCTATACCTTTCTTTGTACTTTCTATCCAATTGGTTAATCTTTTGGATCGTTTATATAAATCCAAAGAAAATAGCCCATCTTTTTCCACATTGAGGTGTAACCCATGATACCTTTTCTTCCCGAAAGATCCATCTTCTGTTCTTTGGTGGTCCCAACATCTATCTCGATGTCTTTACATCGACTAATTATAACTTTTAACTTAAAAGAAAAATTGATACGATAACTGCAGTAGGTACAAAACTGCACGCAAATTCATACCTATATATACGTAAATGATAATAATTATAGGATGTATGTCGTCAAAAAATAAATTAAAAATAGGATGACATTTTTTTTGTATTATTAGGGACTTTTCTGTTCTAGAATCGAGTGGACTTATCCCATGCAGCGTCCGCAATAAAACTTACAGTCATGGTGAAACTTTCTCGTTGGACTGCAGGACTCAATGCAGATGTCAGGTAGGTCACCTACATACTTATCTAATGTAAATTAAATTAAAACAATATTTTGCATTCTCCTCGATACAAGATAAAAGAACACGTTGATTATTAAATATCCATTTAGGAAAAAAAGGAACATCAATCATTATTTAGTATTTAGTTATTTATTTATCGTTATTAATGACAGAGCTTCTAACTGTCGAAGCAATAAATTCCATTTAATATTTTCCATTCCAAGTTCGAAAGCGAAAATAATAATTTTCTCGGGTTGCGCGGTCTTTTCAATTATTCACAAAGCGTATTTTCGAAATGTTTATAGAACGGGACGTACGGATGTTCGAGCCTGTGTCCGCAGGAGCAAATTTTCCCCGAAGGGACTTGCAATCATCCCAGATTGGTGGAAGTTCCTCAACAATGCTGTCGGGAATGGTTATGCGACAGTCAAACAGGTAACTGACCCATTTCAGAACCGCGAAACATCCTCCCCGAAGACCTTTTTTATGAATTGTCCTTTTAGCTCTTATTTCACCACTTAAGAACCATAAAATGACGATTAATTTCCTGAAAAGGATCACATCGTAATGAAACGCGTAGTGCCATTTTTTGGTACCCAAGTCTCTTAAAAGCTGCAGCATTGTTAATTTCGAAAATTTGTTGACAAAATTTTCAAAAAGTTTATCTCAAAAGTTGTACAATCATTTAAAAAGTATTGAGGCTTATGTATCCCCTTAGTACATCTTCATCAAAAATTTTTGAGAGTATGTATTTGTATATATGATTAATCAGAAGCTAGCGTAACTATACTGTTACCAAAATGAATGATGGTGCCATTTTTGGGCACCGAAGTCTGTTAAAGGCTGCGGCATTGTTAATTTCGAAAATTTCTGGACAAAATTCAAAAAGTTTACCTGAAAAATTGTAGAATCACTTAAAAAATTTTTTTTAACCATGAGGCTTATGCAGCCCCTTAGTACATCTTCATCAAAAATTTTTGAGTGTAATTGTAAATATGATAAATCGGAAGCCAGCGTGACTATACTGCTATAAAATGAATGATGGTGCCATTTTTGGGCACCGAAATCTATTAAAAGCTGCAATATTGTTAATTTCGAAAATTTCTGGACTAAATTTTCAAAAAGTTTACCTCAAAAATTTTTTAAAGACTTTTTTCAACCGTGAGGCTTATGTATCCCCTTACGTCTTCACGATAAATATTTCAGTATACTTTTAAATATGATAATTTCAGAAACCACTGTTTGTTACTCATCTTTATCTATTTGTAATCAGTAGAGAAGCCCCCCAACTGTCACAAAATCTCTTCGTCGTGGTCCAATTGCAGCAGCGATTGTGGGTCAGGGTTTTCTGTTCGCCAGTCAAACCTTAACGAACGTTGCCACATGTTACAAGAAATTCGCCTGTGCCAGACGAGACGGTGCGAAAAAACTCAACAGAACAACGACCCGACAAACAATCAGCACCATATAAGGGTAAGTAGACAAACTCAATACGTACATATAATAGTTTTTTTTTTTACTTCCTGAAAAGAGATACGTTCTGTACAGCGCGCCTAATAAAGTCATTACGGAAACAAAGATTGTCGCCCAGCATTAACTGCAAGTTGATTAAGAAGTTTCATAAATTGTATCAGTTTTAATGCGGTCGGCGAGCGCCTCGGGCGACGTCCACGACGTCGTTTTAATTTATTTTCGTCGCGTTTCTGAATAAATGGTACCATTCGCTCAACCGGCACTAACTAGCTAACTAAGAAACCCGATCGAGAAGGCGCTCCCTTAGCCAAACTTTTAAATTTATTTTGTACATAATAGTAGGCCACGACGACGTTAATAATCAATCAAATCGATATCGTTCGCGTTCGTCGTCTGTTTGACCGAAAAAAATACGCGGGATTTTTGAATCTGAGGTAGCCAATCTTGTTCCAGAGAGGACACGAGTGCAAGGCGACCCATCGTCCCAGCAGTCCCGTGTACCTCGAAATAGGTCCTTGCAGGAGTAGGAAAAGGTACCGTCCGAAATTTTGTAGCATTTGTAAAGATCGCGGGGTAACTTGCAGCCCCCTGCTCAGTACGACAGTTAAGGTCGACTTTGTGTGCGACGCGCCCTTGCCGACGTTCGAAAGAAGATCGAATTTGGTCTTCAAAAATATACAACAGGGCGAAGACATGTGGGTGGAAAATATCCGAGATGATACCGAGTTGAAGACGCTGGTGACCGTTTCGATGCAGTGGATTTTGAGATGTAAGTGCGACCGCGGGAAAAAAGCGTCCAGGAACTCGACGGCGGACGTCGTGCTACACAGGGTCCATCGAGACGTTAGGCTAAAAAGTTTCAGGCGCTGAACTAACCCTGTGATTGTTAAGCTATAGAAATAACACAGGTAAAGACGTTTTTTTGGACATATCAGAACTTTTTATGGACCATCTAGCGATATGTAAATAGTGTATCCTAATTTAGCAACAATATATTACAGTAAAAGATCTTTATTCGCGGGGTATACGTTCCATAAATATGCCGCGAATACAGAAACCGTAGATATGCAATGGTAATTAGTATGGAATTATAGGGGATACGTTCTAAATTCGCAATTAAAATTAATAGTACAGTACATACTCAAAAGATGCCGATACATTAACGGGATTCAGCAATACACGCGCCGTAAAGTAAAAACATGCTTATCGCTTCTAGATATCATGAGTTTAATGTTTGGAACAGAGGTTTGAAATTTTGTAGTAAGATAGATAAAGCTTTGTTCTAAAGCTTGTCGAAGGCCATTTTGGAATTTTTTAATTTCTATTGAAAATACGTGTTCTACAAAAAGCATCAACTTTAAGCACTTGTAAAAGCTTTTAATGACCATATTATTGAGAACCAAAAACGTACCGAGTTAGTGTGAACCTTCGTTTGTTACCATACAAAAAATCAGATATTTATCTCGCAGCGTTAAGTCACAATGTTTAGATTAGAAACCCATGTTTTCGGAAAAATTCACACTAGGTACGAGCGGTCTATTGCGGTCAGCCCCCGAATCCTTTTCAGTTTACCGATTGCATCCGCGAATAATTGCTATTTTTTCACGCGCGAATAATGAAAACGCGAATAAGGAAACCGTGAATAAGGAACTTTTACTGTATACTTTATTATAAAACAATAGAGAAACTTATAGGGACAGGTACTTATTGAAGTATCTAGGAATGTAGCGAATGAAATCGAAATTCGAGTATCGGGAATGAGAAATCGGTCACTTAAATTGTCTGTCACTGCTAGGTCCTTATCCCCGGGGATTTTTGACAGGACAATAGCCAGGATTGTTCTTGAAATCCTTTACAAATAAAGCGACAGTCGATTCACGGATGGTAGCGCATCAATATCTCGAAATGCAAGACATTATTAGACTCTTTTTCGACTGTATGTATTTGAAGTCCTTTAGTACACGTGTATAGTCCTGGGAAAATGATGAAAATAGAAAATACCGAACGCGTTTAATTTGGGCACCAATGTCTGCATCTAGACGAATTTTAAACTTAAACAATTCTTTGAACAGAAGCCCATGACGTACCATAGGTATTTTTTTGTTACGATTAAAACAAAACTGTTAGTCTAGTATTTATTGAAATAGATAAACTACTTACGCTAGTAAAAGAAAATAATTAGTATTCGTGAATGTGTGCCTTTATAACCCTATAAATTACAACCCCTTTATACAAAAGTACATTGCCTTATTAAAATCATTAACATCAAAAATTAATTATCATTAATTGACTGTAAATATAACAACACTTGGCTTTTGGGTAAATGTTTATATGATGGCCCCCACCACTGTACCATAAAAATTTCGTGGCGGTCTCACCCCCATAAAAAGTTATAGGGGTTAGATGGGGCGGAGGTAGGGGGGATCGAAGGAGGGTAGGGGGGATCGAAAGAGGGTGGTCACCTGAGTAAAACCCCATAAAAAATTTGTGGCGATCTCACCCTCGTAAAAAGTTATGGGGGTTGAAAGTTGATTATTTTGACAATTTTCATACACTATAATTCAAATAAAATTCAATAAAATAATTATCTTCAAGCGGGTGGAGGTGGGGGATCGAAAGAGGGTGGTCACTTGAACAAAACCTGATAACCTAACCTAACCTACCCAATTGCTAATGATATTTAAATAATGTTTTATATAATTTTCTCAATATTTTTATGTATTTTTCCATTAGTTTTACCTTTGAATATTGTTTAAGAATGACTATATAAATATTTACATGCATAGAAATGTATAAAAATTGGCATATTTATTAACTTTGAACCCCTATAACTTTTTAT